CCCCAAAACCCCAAAACCCCAAAACCCCAAAACCCCAAAACCCCTTATTCAAAATTTCAATTGATTTTTTATAATATTAACACTACAAAATCTATATCTTGCCAGAGGATTATCCAACAGCAGGTTTGGAGCTCCCAAGGAAATGCCTTGTATGAAGGGCAGGTAGCCTCCTTAGCTAGAGAAAGAATACTCAAAGTATACTACTCAATACTTTGGCATTGATGATACCTCTCTTTTACTTCCAAGAATCCATGAAATCTTGCTAAATTTTTGAGACACTCTTCTTTAAGTTTGAAGAGAGACTTCCTCTGGTTTTGAATTATGAAGATACTTTACTAAGAAGAGATGTGTCAAGACCTATCATTCAGATTCCCCCAGAAAGCAAAGATTGATAAGATCCAACCGATTGCTCCACAAAAGAGTTCGTTGGATCTTACACTTTGCTTTGTGGCTCAAGCAAGATCAACAAAGGATAGATTTGATACTTCCAGATCTCAGAGCAAATATCCTGCAATTTATAAGGTAACCACTTTTCCAAATCTGTAAAAATCTGTTGTGCCTGCAGATTTGCTCCTCTTTATGAGCATATCTCTTTTGTAACTCAGAAAAATTAAAAATGGTTTGAAAACCACTTATTGATCCCTATTCAATAAGTGTTTATTGGCCCTTTGACATTCCTCCATCTTTCTATTTGTTCTAATAATTTTCTAAAGTTTCCTGCAAAATCCATGACTGATAAGCATTCTGAAGCGCTCAAAACTCCAAAAAATGTAAGTTATCTTCTAAAACTTTCTTAAACACTGCTACAGAGCACTAGGTTCTTCCTTTATTGAGCCTTTGTTATAAAATTAGCAGGAGATTAATAGGTTGTGTTTTAGATATTACTTCCACAAATGAAGTGATATTAATGAAGCTTCCGATATTTCTTACTCCTCTCTTCCCAGTTCTCACATGACATAGGTCCGAGACTCAAATCAGACATTTCAACTCAAGACCTCTTATAAGGGGTTTTGGGGTTTTGGGGTTTTGGGGTTTTGGGGTTTTGGGG